TTTTTTTTTGATTATTAGAGAAAACCAGACTGCTTTCTAGCATACTACATATCCCTCTTCCCCAGTCTCCACAGCATTAAATCAACAGTCTTAAAAGCTCTCTGGGACAATCATTAAACCATTATTAATACTGAGAAAATGGGATTTGCAGTTTTGATACTGCAGTGAATTCCAGGAAAAGACCAGTCCAGACTTTTTTTTTTTTTAAATTATCTAGTCTCTTCATCTCCCTCAAGGATGACTTTTTACTTCTGTACAGGAAACATCTTCCATTAAACACAGAAGGATGTTTAATGGGGCAGAAAGCCTGAGATAGCCTCAGGTTTTTTAATCAGTCCCCCTTGTTAACAGATCACCGGCGGCCGGTGGGAGCGTTGCTGTGCCCGTCTTTTTTGTTTGTTTTTTACGTTTTTCCCCCAAATTTTCCATAGGTAAGACAAAAGTTATTAGCCTGGCTCTGCCATGAGTCTCGCGGAGCAGTGCAGTGAGTGGTGCTAGTGCTGGAGGTGAATTTCTGCCCTCTCTTGGGCGGGATGGAAGAGGAGTTCTTTGGACGTTGAGTGCTTTGGACGTTGTTCAAAGCATGATTGCTCCTGTAACTCTTAGAAACTTCTTTTAAGGAAAAAAGTACTTTTGCTTTTCTTATTCTTTCAGACAGAATTTTTTCTCCTGGGACTGCATCATGTTTGAGAAGACAAAAACTTGTGTGGGGAATGTTATGAGGAAGCATCCTTAGCCAGTCAGCAGAGAGTAAGAGTAGGAGGGAGAGATGCCTGTCCTTATGCCTATCCCCATAGTGAGTTGAGGAGACTGATGAACTTTGCAGTTGACTTCAGTAGTGGTGCGGTGCAAATTTTAGGGACCCCTTCCTGGAAAGGGCAGGGGTAGGGAAGTAAGTGCTGTTGAGGAGGTGGTGATAGTTCTGGTGAAAATTAAAAGCAAGCCTCGAGTTCCAGTGTTGGTATGGCCATGGAGTCTGTAAATCCAGCAGAGACTGAGCAAAGGCAAAAACATCTGTGTCGTGGTTCCCAGTGTTTCTAGATGACAGTGATGACCTGTTCTTACCTCTCTGTTCACTTTTTGCTCTGTAGTAGGTAGGGTATGAAACTGGATTGTCTTCAAGTGTAAAAGAAAAAAAACAATGACTGTTAACTATTTCCCAGACATCTTCCTATAGAAGTTAACTCAGGCTCCCTTTCTTCATAACCATCTTGCAGCTGTTGTAGGCAAACAAATCCAATTCTGCCTACTCTGAATTAATGCATCTTTAGTCTGCTGAAGTCTCTGATCAGTTCTTTTAGGAGACTGGTAATTGGTGGGTAGTGTAGCGCAGTGTGTGGAGGTTGTCTTTTCCCTTCCCTTTTTCCCAGTTTCATAACTAGCTTTTCTGTCAGCTGGTAATAAGATAATTAACCACCTAATCAAATTATATCTGGGAAAGTTGCATTTTTGATGATGTTCTAAGATGATTTTCATATCTTGGGGGAAGGAGGGAGGGGTGTAACAGACATCAGTTTAGTGGATTTTGGTACTATTGGGATCAAAGAATGTGCTTTTAAGAGAGAAGTAGTGAAGCTAGAAGAACTGGATATTATTTATAAGGAAACCCTTCTGTTTTAGTTCTCTGTAGAGTCCAGCTGCAAAATGAACGGATGGTAATGTCCTGTTCTTGCTGGCTTGTATGTAACAACTAGCTGATTATGTAAAAGTGTCGTAAGTTGCCATCCTTTTAAAGTGATTTTGAACTTTTATTCCTCTTTCAAAATTATTTAGCCTCCTTGTTTGGTGTACAGCAGAAACTGAAAATGCGATTTTGATGTGGTAGCTGAAACTTAGTTTCGTATTAGCCGTGTGAAAAGAAAGGGGAGAATCTGCCTTGCCTGATGAAAGTCATTCTCAGATGAGCAAAACATGTAACCTGTGCAAAGTCCTAAAAATAATAGGAAGCGTAGCGAAAGGCATACTGATCCTACCTGCGCAGGAGAGGAGCTGCAGTGATGTTATTAGCTAAAGCAATAGAGAAAAACTACCTTGTTAAGGTAAATATTGGCCGAGGAACTTATGTCTTCTGCCACCTTTCTACATTTACTCTTTCTAAGCAGATAGTAACTAGGTGGCAGGAAATGCTGTAGCTTTAAATGGAGTTCCAGCTTTCAGAATTTGCTTGTTACTTCAGCAGTGAGCCAGTTTAAAATGAACAGTTCAGATAAACTTAGTTATGTAAATCATTGTAGGTGAGTTTTAGATTTTTCTGAAGGTTCTCGTTTGCTCCTTATTCGTTGCAAGAAGTTGTTCAACTTTTATAACTGTTCCCACTGAAAATTTGATATTATATAGTTGGGAACATGTCCTTCTATTTTATTTTTTAATAGTTCTGACTGGTGCACAGGATTATTTTCAAACACTTTAATAGGTCCCGTAGTAAAAGTCCGTAGAACCTCAGAACTTACCTGACAGGATGAATGCACTACTTTGCTTATTCTAGAACTGGATTTCCATCCTGAATCGAAAGCTGGCAGAAATTAATGACATAAACCTGTATTGTGTTTGTTCTGCTATTTTCTCTGGTTACAGAGACCATCCTCTAATAGCATTGTTAGTAAGAATCTACCTTTTTGGAAGATATATATATGTATATATATATATAAATAAAAATCTGTCATGCAACTGAGAGGTTTTTATTACTATAGTTGAAGCCCTTTGTCTCTTCAAAACTGGCAGAAGTGAATGTCTACCTTCCTCTTCTGAAAGTACAGTTTAAGGCTTGCTTGGTGTATAGGTTTGGATTTAAAACAGATGAGCCAGAAGCCCAAACTGACTTCTGCCAGGCCTGTTCTAAAGGTGCTGAAATAATATTATCTTAAACTTCTTGCTAGATGCAAGAGAACTGTCTATCAGATTCCTTAGAAATTATTAAAATCAAAACTTTTGGGGATTTGAGAGTTCTGTAATGTTTATTAATGAGTTTAATGGTAAGCTATAGCTTTTAGGGTTTTCTGACTGGAAGCAAATTAATGATTAAGTATAAAACTTTATTTGACCTTTAGCCTCACCTATGTCTTAACTTCCCAATCCCAAAAGCGTTTCCATAGCAGAAGATAGAGAATAGACTTTTTTTCTCCTCAGTTACAAGCAGGAAAAGGGTGTTGCATAAATTGAGCAATAATTTATATTTAGCTATGCCTGCAGGAAATACGTATAATTTGTTAGATGTTTTGGTATTAGCTATAACCCCTTCTAAGGAACCAGTTTACAAAATACAAGATAATGCTATGGTCTCTGTAGTTTAGCTCAGCTTCACTGTCTCATTGCATTTTTTTTTAAAACCATTGAGTTACTTTGTCACTATTTAGACAGTATATTGACTTTTCTTACTGTAGAGAGAGCCTCTCTGATCTTAGAATGTTGCTTCTTGTTCCTGGTCCAACACAAGTCTTGATTTATTTATTGGTGGGTGGTCTACGTGCACTAAAGTTGGCTGACCTTCATAAAAGGCTTGACTCCATTCCATCTCAATTTGACATCATAGTATCTTTTTATTTTATCAGTTACTGCGTTTATATATAAACATCTACTTTGAAGAATGCAGAGCTAGTTTTCTGTTTTATTGCCAAACAAACAGAATTTCTATCCTTGATTAATATTCACTAACTTGACAGTGAGATCTGTATTTTTAAAGGGTGATACTTCCTGCTCCATACAAATGGATTATTAAATCTGGATTATTGCTGTGGCGGCAGGCTTACAGAATTTATGCTGTGATTACTAATGTCACTGTCAAGCAAAAGTAACAATGAGAACTCAAGGACTTATGGTGCTAGTTACAGTTGTGTCTTACTGAGCTTTATAATCATCTATAATCAATCTAACTGCCACCTTGTTGATTAGCATACTAAGTACATCTTGTGTATTGTGTCTTAAATGGCCGTTGTTGGAAGTATTGGTGAAAAAGTTAGATTTAAAGGTGGTTCTTCCTCCTTGAACCTCAGTTGTTCCTAGTTTTGTCTCATGCTCACACTTTCAGATGAGATTGTAACAGGATGCCTGGGCAAATGTGAATTGAAACCTGTTTTTCTTTACCTCTTTTTTTGTCTGTTTCTCAGTAGAAGTAATTGAGTGATAATTTGAATAGGTCAAACTCATTTTTAGATAGTAAGCACATGGGTCTCTTAGTACAAGTCCTGACTACTTAAACAATCATCAGAGCATAATTTATTGACATGTAATGGCTTTCATTAGATGCATACTACCTGTGTTTCTTATAAAATGGAATGAACATTTAATTTTGCCTCTTTCAGAAGAAATCAGTTCACTCAGAAGATCCATTTAACGATGATCAACGTGAGCGGCATGAAGTAGAAATGCTAGCCAAGAAGTTCGAGGCAAAATATGTGAGTTACTGTACTTCTGTTAAAATATGATTATTATATATGTTAATATGTGTTAACATCTAGGTTGCATCATTTTTTTCCTGAAATTAGTTGCTAATAAATGCCAATTTCTGTATATATCAGTTGACTAATGTTTCATCTGAGCATCTTGAAGCTGCTACAAACTTATTAGATTAATCTTTTTCTAAATAGATGTTTCTATAGGGTGTTGTAGCTTGCAAAGCTATTCTTGGAAGAGCTTTCTATGTAAATACAGCTGAGTAATAGATGCGGGTCAATATTCATGATAAATATTGCACTGGGGGAAAGAATTTTTATGTGAGGCTGTTGTGCACTACTAAACAGCTCTTCTGTTTTGTGCTAAATACAAAAAGAATCTTGATGCATTTGTGCCTAGTTTGGAATGGTTCCATAGGAAGTTATTGTTGAACAAATAAGTAATCACTTGATGAGTTTCTTGTAGCTGCCAGCTGCCTAAAGGTACTTGCTGGCTCCTGGAAGCATAGAATGAAGGACTTGAACACTACTGGGCAGCAACTTGAAGAGGCTTTTGCTAATAAATAGAGGTAGAAATCAGAAAACATTGACTAAAACCACACCCAAACAGGTCTTCAAAAATTCATACAGGTACGGTGAGGTGATTAATTCTGAGCTGGCAATAAAACCCAATCATCATGCTTGGACATGTTGATAGTGTGGGTTACTAATACAACACCTCAATAGTAAAAACAGCAGTCAGCTCATATGTTAATAACAAAAGATACAAGTAAAAGTGCTGTTTGCTTTCTTTGGAATTTCTCTGATAAACACAGTTCCTTAAGGAGTATAGGTCTATATTTTGTAGAAGTAACTGCTATTTCGTGTTACCTTAGCTGTGATATGTAGGAGAAGAAATTCCTAAACTGAAAAGAACTGTTGTGATCTTTTGGAGGAAGTCACATAAACTCTATATAATAGTGTACAGAGAAAACAAATTCATAACACTGTTTGATCTTCCTTTGAATAATATTCTTTAACTAGAGAAATCTTTTAATTGTACTTTTCCATAGAACATTTTCCGTAATATTTTTGCGGGCTTTTATGGTGTTCTAAAACAAGCTATATAATTATAGCAGGTGAAAGTCAGTATAGATGACGTAAAGTGATGTATGTAGGGGATGGTAGAGGTGGAAGCAATTCTAATGTTACTTTCATGTTTACACATGCATCCAAAATAAGGATTGCCTTTTATGGACAAGATATGGTGTTACTAAATTTACAAAAAAAAACCTCAGTTCAGTGCTCTTGAAAAGAAACTAAAATATCTGTAACTATTAGGAAAGGAAGATAAAAATAAAACCTATGATTAAACTACTGTCTAAATCCACAGTGTACTCATATCTTGAATACTGCTTGCATTTTGATTTCTTGCCTTTGTCATTCCTTGCCACACCTGACCCCACCCCCATCACCCTGCCCCCGAAAAAAGAAAATCTCAAAGGAAATGGCTTCTGTACAAAGAAGAATTTACCAGATTAGGACCACTAAGCATAGAGGGTGGCTCATGATTGATGGTTCTTTTGTTAGATACTCCCTGTTCGTTCTCTCTTCCAGTACAAGAACAATCAGTCTCTACTTACCCTCCATGCTCCATGGGATTACATCTTTGTACCCTGATCCAGTACAGTTGCTCATGTTCTGACAACATCTAGCCCTTGTAAATCTGAGACACACTTGCTCCATAGCTTAAGCTATAACAAGGAGCCTATGAAGTGTAAATACCACTTCTCTGCAACAATAGTTCATACTAAAGATGATCACTGATTGTATGAAAATGAAGTTGGAGCTTTTCTTTGAATTTGTAAAGTAAGAAAGTACTAGTTTCTTCTTATACTGATTAGGTGGTATTTGTCTATACCTATTTAAAGTGAAACCAAATGATCTTTTTTAAATTGTAGTGTTTATGGCAGGTGTTAACTTTGCATTTATTCTACAATCTTTTAGAAAAAAAACTTGATGCACATCAAAACATTATTCCTTAGACTTATTTTTAATTATTTTCAAGTAATTCCTTCACTTATAACTAGTACAATATTGGGTAGATCATGCTGACTCTGCAAGGAAGGCACACATGAATAAATAAATTGTCATAAAGCAAGATGCATAAAGTTAGTGTAGCACTTGCTTGACTGATTATGAAAAATTATTTTTGAATGGGTGGATGAATTCAGGCTTTAAAACAAGTAGCACAGAAATCGGTTCTGAATGTTTCTTTTCATTTCTGTTATTTCGCTTGACAAAGTTAAACTTGTCTGCTCGGCTGCCTGTTGAGCCTACCATGCTAGCATGTTGTGCATTGTAAAGATATACTGAATCTTGGATGGCATTTTACAAAATGTAAGATTCTTTACTGGCTCAGAACAAAGGTTCATTTTAATGCATGATAACACAGTCCTCTAACACTAGAGGAATCTCATTCTCAGAAGCTTTGCACAGTGTAAGTGTTCATTGCTGTTTTTTTCAGTGTGCCATTCTAGCGATCTGGTTTAATTTCTTCCCGAAAGTCAAAGGCTGTTTTGAACTGCCCTTCATACGTTTTTTTCCTGCAAACCTTTGCTTAATCATTTTCTGAGTTCATTGATATGTCTGAGCTTGCGTTCCCTGGCAATGAGTGCCATGTTTTTTGCATCATACGAAAACATACTTTGCTTTAGTCCTGCTGGCTAATATGTTCAGAGAGCTTCATAGCTCATAGTACTATGAGAAACACAGGGGTTGTTTCCTTTTCACCTTCTGCATGTGATTCTTACGCTAGCATCTCAACTCAGCTATTTCTTTTCTCACCTGAGGTGTTTTAACATTGTGTTCTTATGCAGCAGTTAGATTCTTTTTTACCTTCAAATTTTCTTCTTGCCTTGTGTTTTTGTTATAAATGAAAGTCCATCAGTGGTAGGATGCTCTGATGCATCAGTGATGACTCCTTCCCCCCCGCCTTGTAGCTTGCTTTATCACTCTTAATAATCTTCTCTTTTGGCCAGATGTCAGAGTGCAGTGCATAACAATTTCATTGCTTCCTGAGGAGCATAACAAAATGAGAACATGTCTTTTGTTGTTAAGGCTGTATTATCTATGTGGCATTACCTGGCTTTTATTAACACTGAATTCAGTTATTTATCATACTAAGTACTTGCCAACTGCCAGGTCTTTCGGTGTTTCTTCAGTTGTGTTTTGTTTGCTATCTTGACTGGTCGTGTCCTGTCAAATTTTGTTTTCCCAGCACATACACCCACTGCTATCCCTCTTTCTCTCAAGACGAAAAATACAGATTTTTTTGGTGATACCACAAACTGGGGAGAAGAGAGGAAAAAAAAGCCAAGTGAGCTATTTATTGCTATCCTTTGTTTTCTAGATAGTCATTAATTTGAGTAGGTCTTTCCTCTTATCCCATGAGAGCTTGTTTTCTTTAAGCATCTTTGGAACTTATTTAAAGCTTCTGAAGTAGGACTTCCTTCTACCAAAATTCTCTTCCGTCCTGGAATGTGTATACTTTATTACACGTTCTGATTTTGGTTTTTGTGACTTCTATTAATTTGTACAATAGCAAAGGTCAGATTTACAGGCCCTTTGGGCCATTGGAAGGTTCTCTTTACAAAAAAAAAAAGTCATTATTTATTACATTTTAGTCCTGCTGTATAAAAATTGCTTAACTTTGTCGTATAACTTGAGGTTTTGATCTGTTGAGTTCATATTTGAATTTGATGTATTTGAGAGATTCTTGTTTGCTTGCAAGAATGCACATTGGAGCTCAGGCTTAATTACAAAGTATTGTCACATCTTTGATAAAAGAGCAAGGTAGACATTGTTCAAAGGAAACTTCAGCCTGCTAACAGTAATGAATGGGCTGTGATACTTGTATTTCGTAAATTTAAGTCTTGTACTTGTTCTAAACATGCTCAGAACTGCAGAATGCCATGTGAAGAGCTTCATGGGCAAGTCATCTTGAATGTATGCAAAAAAAAAAGAAAAACAGGCTACCATTTTAGTGAAAGTGATGCCTTTTGGAGGATGCTGTCTTTAAGAACTTTATACTGACAAATCTGTATTGCTGTAAGTTTAGATTTCCTGAATTCTGTCTAGCTGTGTATGATTTCTTACTTCACTTGCATTGTTAGTAACACTCGCACATTAGAAAAGTACTCAACAGAGTAATATAAATTTTACTCTCTCCTGGAGGCAAGTGAACCTACAAATTAAGATGCAAATTTTTGCTTGAACTTACTCAGCTAACCATTTCATGCTTGTTCTCACCAGTTGTGGTGACAAAATCCTTTGAAATGCAAGAGTTATCTCAGTGATGCTCTTCATGTTAAACGCTAAAATTTCTTGCAGGTTCCTGTGCACCGTATCTGCAACTAAGTGATCAGCGTTTCTCTTAGTCTTCACCTCCACCTTTCTAGGCAGAAACTATCATGTTTGGGAGACTGCATTAGTGAATTCTAGGCTATTTGTGTTTTCCTCTGTAATGACTCAAACTTAAACTTCCTGTATTTTACTGGGCCTTTTACCACTAGTGAAAACTTTAAAACATAGGTCAATGAAATGTTTCTAAATATGGTCTTTGCCACTTGGAAACCATGTGGCTAGTAAATGCCTTATAAGGATGATTCTAATGAGACTAGAGAATTTCAGCATGTTTTCAGGAACTCAGTTTGTATGAGAACGGTCTCCAGAAAGCTATGCTTCCTAGTTTTTGTCTTCTAGGCTATCTTAGAGGTGTGCAAAAAAAGCAAATTCTCTTAATTTCCTTTAATGCTATCTGTTTTGTGGATTTTAATATTTAGTTGTAGTATTCCTCCTCCCTAATGATCTAACATTTGTTTTCAGGGTGGGAAGCCGCACAAACATCGGAAGGATCGCCTGCAGGATCTGATTGATATAGGTTATGGTTATGATGAAACAGACCCTTTCATAGATAATTCTGAAGCGGTAAGCAAGCTTTATTAAAACAGCAATAAGAGATAGAACAATATTAGAGAGCTATTACTGTATCACATATTTAATTTTCTTCAAATGTATTCTAAGGTTTCCCATTTTAGAAATAAATTTCTTTATTCATATGCTTCATTTATTATGAACTGTGAAATTACACTGACTGTTTGCTTTCTTGTACCAGCAGTGTGGATTCCTGGTAGTTTACTGGTGCTGGATTTCCTGCATTAGACAGGGATGCTATTCTGTCCCCAAAATACCATCATGTTCTTCAGACTTTTAAATGTACTTACTGAGCCCAAAATTCATGGTTAGACAGTGTACCCCCCAAAATTCATGGTTAAACAGTGGGGTTTTGCATCTTTTTTTATTTGAACATATATATTTTTAAAAGTCTCAAATGAGATAAAAGAAAAGTGTATTAGTTAAAGTTAGCAAGTGATGTCAGGGATATTTAGAAGTGTGAAAGAGGTCTCTTTTACATCCTGGAGGTGATTCAGGAAGTCATGACAGTGAGGAAGAAACAACCCTGAAGAAGGGATGATGTCGGGAACCTCCTATGGCTTGCATTTACCATATGACAGGAAGAATTAGGTGTACTTTTTAGCCAAATAAACCAGCCTTTAGCCTCTTCGACCTGTTGAGGGACACTGAGCAAAAGAGCTGCAAGGAAAGGGCTGGAAGCTGAGTGGGAGGGAAAAGACAATGAAAAGGAGTTGTGAAAAAGTAACAAAAGCATCAGAGAAGCCTGTTACTTAACATATATCATATACTGCTCCTCAATTTGAATGTGATGCTGAATTGTGGAGCTGTTGGACTGAATACTGTCTTTGTGCATTGTTAGCTTTGGTAAATCAGTATGAAGGTATCTGAACAAGTTGTGTGAAAAGTTAAGTTTGTTAGAGATGCTGCTTATCTTGGCTTGTATTTATTCTTGTCGTAGACTGAAATTTGAGTTGAAATTAGCTATGTTAAACTATCCTGTCATATTCCTCAGCTTTTGCTACCACTGTGACTTGGTATGTCCTATCCAATTTCAGATTCTCATCTTCAGCTCAGTAACCATAGAAGATCCTGCTTTCCTTTTAGAAATCAGTAGCCTGTAGGCTTATCTGTTTTCTCGGTGTTGTTCAAGGTAACTATCCCCAGTTTCAAAACTTTGATACAGGAAATGAGCTGTATCTTGATTTTTTTTTTCCTGAATTTATCATGATCTATCATGGGTCTGATGGTCTGAATTCAGCTAACATTCATAGTACAGGACTTTCTTGAAGCTTTTCTTGAATCTAGCAGGCTAGATACTGTGCCTGCTTTCAGGGCTGCTCTTGTCAGCAGCAGATTTGTTAGGTCTGCAGGAGCATTTCTGATGGATCTCTTGCCAGACTCCTTGCAAGAATATAAAAGGCAGTTGTCAGAGGACCAGATGGTTGTGTCATGTGGTAGCTGTGGAAGCTACTGGGGCGAACGGTGTATTCTCTAAAGACTGCCCTCTTGAACAAACCATTTTGCCTCATGTCTGCATTACAAACAGACTGTTGAGAGACTCTCTCAGTTCTGCTTTCATCTTCATTTCTATATATATTAAAGCAGATAAATGCACTATATTACCAGCCCCTAGTCTAACAACCTGTTGCAGAGCTGAAAGATTCTGTAATGTAGCAGTTAAGCTTACCAAAACCCCCATTCCATCTCTATTAGATGCAAATGGAAAAATGTTCAGAGAAAGGCTTTCGTGTCTGGTTTGCTCATCTTCTGTGTGGCCAGCTATTAAATCATAGTATGCTTTGAGAGATGTCACAGGCAGGCCCCAACCTAGACTTATCTTTCAGAAGAAAGGATGCTTTCTGTCACAGAAAAGTTATATCTTGGACACAAGCAGTTGAAAAATGAGTATGAGTGCCTCTTGAATTGCTCCAGGAGTGGAGTTCTGTTGTCGCCCTGCTTATTCTCTGTAAAACTGAAATCTGCTAGAAATTGTCTTTTTTGTTGGTTCTTGGGTGTGCAGGGTGGGGGGGGGCAGGGAGAATCCTTGGCACTGAAACAGACTTGCTCCTTAACTTTAGAGATTCTCCTTCTAAACCCAGATTTTTAGGTAATGCCAACAAATGTTGCTGAAGAAATGAAAGCTCAAATTCTCAGTCCTTTTTTTTTTTTAAGCATACATGCAGTAGTACAGGAAGCAAAGTTTGGTTGTACTTTGCTTCTATTTTGAAGTAAACGATTCTGCATATTTAATGCATGCGCATCTATATATAAATCTCTTGGTGTAATATACTACATTACACTTAGGTTACAGGAAAGTAACTGCTGCTTTTTTGGTGTGGCTTTTTAAAAATCAGGGTTATGTGCTGAGAATGTCAGCGATTCCCACATGATGGACTCTCTAGGGCTGGAGTACAGACTGCTGCAGGGCATGCATTTTGGGAGGAAGCCTCTTGGAAGTTGCTGATAGAAGGGATCTTTTCTGAAGCAGAAGAGGTTCTTCCTTTCATTCATGAAAGGATGTTGATAGCGCTCCTAGAAAAGAATGAGGTAGAGTTCAGACTGTACAGTAAGCTAAATTGTCAGTGAGAGAAAATCTTGAATGAGATTCTTCTAAATTAACTTGTTGTTCTGCTTTCATGGCTTACTCAGCAAGGAATATTTTCCTACAGCATAGTTGAGACTTCTATGGTATGGATATATTTGGACTGTCAAAGTCCTTGGAGGGACCAAACATAGAAAGGCAGAGGCTTCCAAAGAGCAATTTTGAGTACTCAAACACGAAGCCAGCAAAAGGAAAATAGTGGAGAAAGTGTATTTTGCATATGTTGCACTAAGTGATACCTTTAGTTCCTGCATCCCCTCTTCCTTCAAACTTGTTTCTTCTCACAGCAGAAAGCACATGGTTACATGTTGTTGCTTTCTTTGGATGTACTTGATGTATATGCTATTCTTTTTTTTTTTAAAAAAAAAAAAAAAACCTTGTTGCTTGCCTGTCTTTGCTAATTTTATTAGCTGGTCCCATTTGGAAGAAATGGATTTTCCTCTCTGAATGGAATTGCAGACAGGTGGGAAATCCATGTTTCAATTTCTATGTTGATTGTTTTGACTATGCAATGAGTGTTGAACTTTTAATCCAAATAACTGATCAAGACCACCTTGGTCTTATATCTAATGGTTTGAAAATTTCTTATCTCTACTTACCGTAGTAGATTTCTGCAATATTAACACACAAAATGTGCATAACTTAGAGAGAGCTATCTATCCTCACCGCTTCAGGGCTGAAAATGGAATCTGCTATAATGTGACTTGCCAGGTGGTGTATTCCTTGTGGAATGATGTTCCAGTAGATTTCTGCCCCACATCCTATTCCACCTGCATGTATACATACATGTGCATGAGAATCTAATTTGGCTGGGCTACTTGCTGTTGCAGTGACCTCCAAATACTGGACTTGCTGAATGCCTACCTGGCAAAGTAAGCTTTATATATGCATTACAGATCCCAGGAAAATGTGATGGGGTCTCATAGCATCTTATCCTTTCTGCTGTGTAGTGTAGGAGAAGGATATGAGATCATACATGGTCAGTATTTACTCAAAAGTATGCAGTTGCTCTTAAACAGAGATAAGACGTACACATTTGAAAACAAGGACCAGCCAGCACCTTTCTCCACTGCAGGGTAGATGAATACTGGGGGAGAACTGCCTACTTAGAAATCTGTGAGCAGGACAAGTTACAACTGCTCTTTGCCATGGGATTTTTTTTTTTTTTAAAAAAAGCTTAAGTTAAAAATACAAGTTTACATATACATTATGTGGAGAAAGGACCACCTTTAGCATGGAAAAATCAGGGAAGGGTAGGTTTCTGCTTGCTTTTTGATGTCATCAAGAGTTAGGCAATTGATTGTCCCTTGTTGACCTTGTTGAGGATAATAATGTGTATTCTGCTATGCTGTCTTTCAAAAAGGTAATTTCGGTCTTTGTGTGAAAATTTAGCCTTAAAAGATGGCAGATTAGAACAAGTGCATTTCAATTATTATGCCTTTGGAGACATAGTTAAGAGATCAGTCAGCAGTGTTTTAAGTACTTAAATATGCAGTTAATTATGTAGGCTTTCAGTTCATTGGGCGACAGCCATAACCAACATGACTTCTGTAGCTTGACTTCGTTCAGTGGTCTAGTGATGATCAAAAGTAAATGGAAAAAAACAATTGCTTAGAGCCATCTCAGATATCCTGAACAAGGAACAGAAATGGTTGCCTTTTATCTAAATATCTCACAACAAATAAGGTATAATCTGCATTTAAGGACACTTGTACATGTTTGCAGCAACTATCACTTTGAGGATCTATACTTTAGGTTGTTCTGTGGTGAAAAGGTCTGTAAAGAGAATTGTGGGTAGAATATCTGAACACAAGAACAGATAATATAGGATAAAATGAGTGTTATACATAAGCAGGACTTGATTTTGGAGCTAAAATGATAATATGTGTAAAATGTTATTACTCCTTCTTGATGTAAAGGCCTAAAAAAAAAACCTAGTATATTACTTTCTACATTTAAATGCTTAATTAAATTGAAGCCAGTAGAAGAGCAATAAGTAGCTCAAGGACAATAGTTGAGATGAACTTACAGGTTTGCTTTTAGGCAGTCAGGTGTTATATCAGTCTCATTTTACAGAATAGCTCTGTGATCTAAAGTGGGACAAAGATTATTTTGAAAAGGAAAAGTAAACTGTGAAGTAAATGTAGTTGATAAAGGAGAACCAAATGTCAGAGACTTTTGGAAGTGTGACTAAATTCATGTTCCTCAGCAGAAATTGTTGAAATTTCACCTGTTATGTATCCACATCTTGCTGAACTTGCTTCCCATTGCTTACTTGCTGACTGCTGTGGAAGGGTTTGTACTCTGATTTGTATATTGAATGAGATCTGCCTTTTTGGATGATTTGCTCCTAGTGAACTGTGTTATGTTGATCATACTGTTCATCGTACTCATCTTCTGCAGTAGTGGATGGCTTCCTCATTGAGGACTGTCTTTAATTGTTGTCTCGTGTATGTTCTCCAGGGCTTCCTCTGCTCTCTAGCAGCTACCACGTTACTGTGTTCTCATTTATTATTCTTGATTTTTTTAAGGCAGTAGTCCCAGATCTATGTGCTTTCTCTTTCAACCTTAGCAAAAACTATATTCTTCTGTTTTGATCCCATCTTACCCCAATCTCACCAATTCATTTCACTTCCTATCTCTTCACAAAGAAAATCCTTTCTTTGTTTATTAAATATTAGGGGTAATTTTATCTCCTTATACTTCATGGTTGTATCTAATGACCGTGGTTTTGAGCGCCTGTAGAAAAAATATCAGATTTCTGTGAAGTTCTCACCCAGCTTGTTTTTAAGTGTGCCTTTGTACCTCCTCCTTCGCATGATCTTTCAGGTCTCTTAAGCTGAATGACATATCCACAGCTAAGTCCCTTTATTTTAACTTTGTCCAATTAATAAGAGTCCTCTGCTCTCCTGCACTAGTCTTTTACATGGTTATAGGGTATGTCACAGATCCTGTCACTCCTTTTCTGTCTTACTCTAATGCTTGTTCAGCCTTCTGTTCCAAGATTGTAAAAGTGATATGACTGTTGCTGAAACTTCTCTTTATGCTGATCAAATTCAAAAATGTCCCCAGTGCAACCTCTTCTACCCAGATCACTTGTTTGAAGTAATTATAACTGTTTTCTTTTCGTGGATACCTATTCTATGTTTATGCTTTGGTAGCCAGGGCTTTTGATTCTTAACCTGTATCTTTGGTTGTATTCAGTATATTTTATATCCTATGCAGTGCGAATGGGGTAACCAGGTAACTGACAATCTGCCTGGCATTGTGTGTGTTCCCTTCCTATAAGTGATTGCACATCTTCAGCTACCCTTGTGGGAGAGCGTGTGCTTGACTACTAATTCATTCAACCTGCTGAAATCTAGCACATATCTCACCTTAGCAGAGATGCAGCAGAAGGCCTGCTGGTTGAAGCTTCAAGCAACCAAGGTGGTGTTTTGTTCTCCTGTATTCTACTTAACTCTTAATCATCTGGCCATGCTAACAGACTTGTTTTTTTGCTTACAGATGTAACTTGGAATTGACTTTTTTTCCTCAGCCTGAGTGCATACCTTTAAAGTGTGTTTAAAATCCTACACTTTATTTCAGAAGAAGGGTAGAAATCAAGTCTTAGTTACGGTGTTATTGTGTGTTTCTGGTCATTGTAATATTTTGTGGGTCCTGTAAAGGCTTCCTCACTTTCGTTGGCAGATATGCTGCCTTCAGGCAGCCAATAGCATCCAGAATTGTATTTGTTGCTCAAGTCCACCATCTTGCTGTTTTCAGTATATGAAAGCAAAAGTGAGAGGAGTTGGAAGGAGTAGTTCAGGACAGTGTTGTCCTTCTGCATAGTGATAAGGGCATTATCAAGGCAACCATCCCTCATTTCTCATGTAAATATTTTGTTGGCATTTATGCAGAAAGTTAGAATGACTCTGAGTTGTCTCTGTTTCGAAACTTTGCCAATAGCAAGATATTTCCTAGAGGTTAACTGGGTTATGATAATGCTTGGGAGAGTATGTCATACTCTTAAGAAGCTGCTGGTCATAAAATGATAGAACTATTCTGTCTTCCACCATACTTAACATTGACCTCTTTTCCTGTATGTCTTTGGACTTTAATGTTTTTGACGTATGGCCTTGTAATTTAACTTGGAGTCCTTCAGGTGTATTGAGTTCTATGCAAAACAAAGCAGTGTGTATCAGAAGTTGAAATCTTTCATGGCTTCAAAACAGTGTAAATGGAGTGAGAATATCTGACTTGTAATAAAGTCCTATGATTGTAGTATTTGGATGTTAGGCCATGTCATGTTGAACACCTAAAATCATAAATAAGGTAACGTGTACTGTGGTTAAGTTTTTCATAACAGGGATAGGTTATTTTAACAAAAGAAAACTACAAAGAACTTTAAAAGAGGGGATAAGTACTTGAGTGGGCAGCATGGTTAGGAATATTACATGTAAAGTGTGTTGGAAGAATATAGATCTGTCACATGCACTGTCAAGGTATGTATTAATTGAAATGGAGAAGACTTGAGCATCACTGGCTGTCTCAGTGAAAAGGGTGGGCAATATGAGGTGTAGTATGGGGTTATGCTTGTTTTACAATAGCAAACATATCAGATATGTTCAGTTGTTTCCTGTATATAATATAAAATTTTGTAAAATTCTAATTTTCCATTGTGGCATCTTATTACCTTTTGTTTTCTGGAGAATTTAGAAATAAACACCTGTAGCTAACTTTCACTTACAGATAACTGAAAAGGTCCATGTTAGTTTTGTATGAATAATGGAAGGTTTTGCCAGGAAACTGCATGCTCTTTTGTAAATTTGAGGTTCAATGTACCTCTGAAACTTACTATTTAAAAAGTATAAATATACTGTTTCTTTTAATGTCTCTAGTGTGCCTTTAAAGATACAGTGGACTAAAATAACTTGTGTATTTGCCTTCTGGCCAGCCAAAACGGGCAATAAGCAGTGAAGTTAAGCTGCTTGTGGGCAGATGATATTTGATTAGTTTATGCATGTTGAGATTAACCTTCTAGCATGAGGTACTTTCAGAGATAGAATGCCAGGGAATAATAGTTAGAATAGTTCCTCTGTCTCCTCAGAGGAAAAAAATGCCTTCATGCCTACCTTCTCTCCCTTCAGAAAGCTTTTTTTAATACTTTCCCTTCTTCCAGATGAACTTTGGCTGAAAATAGAGAGGTTATTCTGTAACTTTAATGTGCTGTGTTCCAGCCAATAATTTTCAAGAGCATTAGTTTCCTGTTTCTATATTAGGAAACTGTACTGTGTACTTGTATTTAATTTTTTATCTTTAGGGACTTGTAAATAAATGACTGATCCATATTTTATTAAGAAATACTAATGAACTCATTACCTTGTTTCCTGCCCAGTATGATGAATTAGTTCCTGCATCACTGACAACCAAATATGGAGGGTTTTATATCAACACTGGTACACTGCAGTTCCGCCAGGCATCGGACTCAGAGGATGAAGACTTTGCAGATGACAAAAAGCACAGGCCACCTAAAGTGAGTGATAATAATTGTACTTTATACACAGAACTTACAGCTAGCTGGAAATTGGGAAAGATCTGATATGATTAGGATGTCTGATTAGGGAGGCTGAAAACAGAATGAGACCCAGCATTTTTCTTTAGCATTTTCTGTTTTGTGAGGAGATAACTCATGTTGTCCACAGGTTGTTTAGGTTTGTAAGGCCAAGCATGTTTATAAGGAGTCAAATGAGTTAGGTCTGTCCAACTTAGGAAGTGTAGATAGTGACTAAATTTTACAGGACTTTTATGTAAGAAGAAAATGTGAAAATCTCCAACACTGCATTTACAGTCTTGCTAAAATCTGCATGGTTTATTCCTAACATGCAGAGTAACATTTAACACAAAATGCCTGATAAAATACAGTTTAATTTATAAGATGAGTTATTTTAAATGTTTATAAGCCGTGTCTCTATACCAATACACTGTATTGGTATTCTATGCACTTACAGAAATTATCGTCAATGCAAGTATAACAGCTTGCATATGACAGTCACAAATTCCATGATGTTCCTTGTACTTTCTGCTTTCTCTGTGCTTTCTTGCATTTTAGATTTTTTAATGTGGTAGATAAAAATATTTTCCAAATTCTAAAACTATTATTGAAAACTCTGAATAAAATAACTATTTAGAGAGATTAACAATGGAGGCTTGTTGATAACTTCAGTTGTTACTTAGGAATGTACCGTTTAGGTTCGTCCTGTTTATCATTTCACCTAAGACACTTTTCCATGCCTGGAAAAATACAAACTTATTATAAGGAATTATTTAATTTTTCAATTAGAATCAGAAAGTGCAAGGAAGGTATCAGGTTCTCTACAAATGAAAAGGTGACAATTACCTGTCTGTTTTTCTTCGTTCCTTTCCCCCATGCTCTCCTATGGTAATGTCAGCTTTGAATCAGAAAGTGTAGGGGTAAATGAACTTTTTTTTTTGGCTGTACAACCTTGTAGAAGAGGGGGAAAAAAGTTGTGATTTGGTCTGCTTTGTAGATAGCAAAGTTGAAAGAAAGTGATGATCGTGGAATGAAGAAGCGCAAGCGGAAGGATGAAGAGGCAGAGAAGGAGAAGCAGCCTCGGAAAATGAAAGTTCCTAAGCAGCTGGGGTATGTTTGTTTCTTAGATGGACTTCTGAATTGTATGTGAGGCTTGTTTGCACACCATAGCAACATTTCTGTAGCTTTTTAGAATAAGTATATCTTTTGGCCATAATTAATAGGTAATAGATTATGTTTGAAAACTTTTTTTATAAATTAGGTCTATGAGCTAATCTTTATTTCTTTATTTAATTTAACTTTTTTTAAAAAAATGGTGAATGGTAAAACATGGGAAGAAAAATCATGGGGAAAAAAAAATCTGACTTTATAGTGTAATCCATCACTGTTTTATCCAAGACTTTGTAGCAGTAAAAATCATGTCTTTCCATCTTCTAATGCAAGAGAGTTTTTTTGTGTTCTAAAAAAAAATTTAGACACAAATAACTTATCTTATGTCTCATGCTAAATTTATCTTTTATCTATCTCACTAAGCTTTCCTGTTCTAAGGCATGTATGAAATGTTTAAGGTGGTGAATTTACTTAATTGGTTTGGAAAACTCTCCTTGAATGAAAGGTTTCCTGTCACTACAGATTCAAGTTGGTATTGAAAGTTTGTTGTTCTTGTCATGATGTTGTTTTAGGGAAAAGTGGCCAATTGGAGTAGCGTATAAATGTGATAATGTATGTCAAATTTCTAGCAGTCAAGATGCTTTAAATGTTACATTAGTTTAAAAAAAAAAAAAAAAAAAAGCTATACATTCACTGGGGAGTCAGGTAAATTTTGAAGTGTTTTAGCAGTGTTTTAACTTAAATCGAAAAGTTAAGAATAAACAAACTTGGCTTTTAATGCATACAAAATGTAAAAAAAAAAAAAAAAAAAAAAAAAAAGCTTTCTCAGATTTCTTTTAATTATACGGGATGTTTTTGCTTAAGATTGCGTGCATTAGAATCCAAAACCTTAGCTTTCTAATGAAACATTTCTTTTTTTTTTGTCTACAGAGTAATGGCCTTAAACTCACACAAGTCTGAAAAGAAGAAAAAGAAATTATATAAAGACTCACTATCTCTGGCTGCCATGATCCGTAAATTTCAGAAGGAGAAGGAAGCCATGAGGAAGAAGGAATCTAGTCCAAAACCTCCAGTGACTGTTGCAACCTCTACCCCTAGTAAAGTTCCTTCTTCCTCTCTCAGTGCAGGAAATGATATCTCTGACTTGAACATCAGGATCAATGATCCTGTCCTCTCCATTTTTGGTAGCACAAATGAACGTGAGCTCCTGCAAGAAGCTGAAAGTGCCCTGGAGATGCTGGGGGACATTGACTTTGACAAGCTGCTTGATGGCACTTCTGATGGCAGCCCGGTATCTGAGCTGTCAGGAGAAAATGGAAATGTCACTCAGGCAACCTACACCTCTCAGGTCATGACACCCAAGCAGGTGCCGGCCCTCCCAGAAGGTCTGCCTACGCTTCTCGAAAAGCGCATTGGAGACCTTCGAACAGTAAGTATGAATTCAGTGGTAAGAGATTGCATTCAAGCAGCTGAAAGAATGAGGAAGAATAATTAGGGCCTGAGCTGTCATCTGTGGAAGAAGTGTCTGAAGCACTAAAAGAATGTAGCACTGATCTTAATGTTAATCTTAATGACTGTAATTAGACTGAGGCAAATGTGACCACAGAGATATAATACGGGTTGATTGTTGAGGGCATATTTCCCAGTGGAAATAAGGTGTTCTGCTTAATCTGCTGTATAGAATAACTTGTAATATTTTTCCATAAGAGGAGTATCAATATTTCTTTAATTTGAATTAATAGTTGGTAAAATGGGTGGTTGCTTTACAATTTGCGCTGGAGAAGAAACATGGAGTACTGTTGCAGCTCATAATCCAATGTCTGCCTTGAGTTCTCACCCTGTTATGAGTGTTCTGAATTTGTCAGCTAAGAGGAAAAAAAAAAAAAAGGTCTGAATACTTTTCTTTTGGAAGGTTGGAATGGAATCCAAATATGTTTCAAAAATGCTAATGGGAAATATTAATTCCCTAGGTTCCAAACATCCTGATAGCTTATGTAAAGGGGAACAGATGTATGAAGTTATCTTACTATGCTCCTTGTTTCAGTTGTGGATGTTATCTTAAACTGAGAATAAATCTGTTTGATAGTTCAGGTTCTGAGACTACATGCAAACCTTTCCTTACTCAGGATAAAACAGTCTTCTTATTACCCAAAAGAGAATGTAGCTGTTAAGCTTTGAGAAAGCTGTTCACCATATCACCTTTTCAAAAGCAGTCATGTACACAGTAGCAGAGGCTACTTTGCTCTGGGTTAGATGTTAATGTTACTGTTTTACCTGTATGTAAAATTTTGACAGTGTTCTTTAGTTCTGAAATGTACTGAGTTACTTGTAGTCAAGGGATTAATATTTATTAAAGCAAGTGAGAAGATTTTTGTCTACCTTTGAGTTTTCAGATTAACTTTGCTATGAACCATCAGCAAGTTCTTAGTATAAGGGACAGATACAGACCCGTGTTAGGCTAAAAATAAGTATTAGTGTTACCTAATTCACTACCCCAAATGCACTCTGCTGCATGGCACAGCCAGCCAGACTGAAGAAAGTTTTAAGTCAACTCATTCTGGCAATCCCAGCTCTGTAATCTTGTGCTTGTAATCACTGTGTTCTGGAAGTGTTGGGCTGGCTGAGCACAGTGAGCCTGCTCATGAGGCTTGGAAGTAGCCATCTGCTTTCTCATATTTGGGAGAGAACTGCACTGACCTGCACATTGACCTACAGATGCAGCTTCCTTGATTCCTATAAGTTGTCATCTGAAACACTGTCAGTGAGGTAGAGCACTGTATGAGCCCTCCGGAAATGGAGGGAAAAAAAGAGGTCCTGTAAACTTTTTTCGTATACTTAATGGTGCTCATAACTTCGGTGCTCTTAGTACAAAAGAAGCTAAAAAACTTACAAAGCTGTAGGAAAAAGCCTAGTTCCATGAAGCTATGATGGGATTAATAGATTTTTTTTTCTAAATACATTTAGAAACTATTGGCTGAATATGATTAAAAAACCTTCCAATCTCCTTTCATATCTTCCAGTTCCCCAAATAGGCAGTTATAAAATATCTTGACAAAAGATAATAGTGTACACAGCAGGAAAGTAATAAAGTGGCATTTTTTTGTATTGTCAAGGTAGCTGTCCAGATAAAATGGTCCTTGGACCAAAAAGTTCAGTGATAACAATGTGGTTTTGAATATCTCAATGTAATTCTCTTCAAAGACCAGCACATTGCGCTGTATGATTATAATGCTGAAATAGGCTTGTTTCCCTAGGACTCCAACATCAAGGCATATATCTTTCCTTTAACTTTAAGGTGCTAATTGTTGTGTTAACTATTCTTAAAGATACTTGTTTTAAGGCTTCCAAACCCGTTTTCTTGTAGATATCTTATTTAAAAACATCTATAACTACCTTTTTTTTTAGAAACAAAGGTTTCAATATTTTTTGAACAGATAGTACCATATCCTTACCAACTGACTCTACAGTAGAAAGTAGTGAATAAAGTATGGTCCTTACAGGAACTTTAAATATGTTCATGACTAAGATGACAAAGCATGCAACATGAAATGTTGCATTCTGAAGTATGACTAGTGTTTTTTTCTGTGTATTACAGAGTTCATAAGGATAGAAAGTATTTTCCTTTCCAATTTAAATGGGATAGTCACACAGAGCTCGAACAATAAGTATCTCATAGTAATAAAGGGATTTTATCGAGTTTATCAAGTCTTTTATTGTTTATTTGCAGCTTTTAGCTCTGATAGTCTATTGACCACTGTAAGGCACAATTATTGAGCTGTTAAAATCTATTTGGATTGTTGGTCTTGGAGCATGCGGACTGCCTATAGTGTGTGGCATTCAGTAAGTGTGCAAGTGTGATCTCGTGTTTGGTATGAGATTACACTTGCAGGCACGTTAATCCCTCTCCAGACCTTTTTTGCTCCAGTGCCAGGGAATGGTGTTGTTTTTTGGAGTTTTGTTTGTTTTTTTTAAGTGCTTTTTTTCTCTTAACTTACATAAATTTGAGAAGTAGAGGAGCTCTACTACTAGAGGGGGAAAAAATGGGAATCTAGAGTCACATTTAAAGGGATTCTACATTGGCCTTCCTGAGAGGCTGGGGCGGGGGGGGACACCCTTAATGAAAGGAGGTATCTGTAGGAATAAGCTTGCCTGTTTTCTGTCCCAAATAAAGAGACCAGAGTAAAATACAAAAGTATAGAGTGGGGCACAATTTCCATCTTCATTCCCCATGTCTAAAGATGGAGAGAATACTGGACAGCACCAGAAAGGGTTGAGATATTCCCCTAGTCTACATACTTCCTTTGTAGAAATTGCACTGAGGACTTGATCTGTCTCGGGACACTGCAGAGTTATGACTGGGCCAGGCCCAATAGTAAAGGAAGAAAAGAAGCCTTTTATGGATTGAGAACAGTGTGATCTGTCAAGCAATGCTGCTGCTCTTAAGCAAACAGTGATACCAAAATGTCGGTGATATTTTAGGTGAGATATTAAAACAGAGCTCTCCACTGCCTTTTTTTCTTCAGTGTTTTTCTTCAGTGACAAGTAGAGTATGCTAAGCTTAGTGATCCAAGCAGATTGCAAGTAAAATGACTGCTTGCCTTAGAACAAAGAGGTTTTATTTGATGTGATAGTGATCTTCACCTTCTTTTCTAAATAGCTGAGCATAATTTGTTTTTCATGTAATGCTGTTCTCTGGAAGTTAATAGATACAGCTGCAAAGCTGTAGCTACTATGTTTGTTGGGATAATATGTACTATGAACATTTGGGTACTTTTTATTGCTGTCTTTTCAGGCCGCAAAGATGTTTGATGAAGAGGGCAGGAAAAAGTTTTTCACACAAGACATGAATAATATTCTGCTGGAGTAAGTGCTTATCTGTATAACTCCCCCTTTTGGAAAAGGGCGTGAAAGGAAAAGTACGGGAGAGGAGGTATTACTGAGATTGTTCCAGAAAAGATTTTAACAGTCAATGAAGACAGATCAGTCTAAGCTAGTTACTAGTGAGATTTGTATATGAATATAATTCCTGTCCTAAGTATCTGTCTGTCTTAATCCACTGTAAAGTGTTTTGTAGTGCCCTGTGTCCTTGACTGTGTGTGCGAAATTCAACAAAGCTCTGCCATTATTTTCTTCCTGTCCCACATTTTCATATACTTAATGCCTTCAGCTTTTATGAAGGAAAAATGCAGATTTTTGACTCTGTAATCCTTCAGCAAAGCATTTGATATAGAAAGTTCTTTGTTTACTCTAAAACAAAAAAAAGTGATTTCTTGAATCTGTAGCTGCCAAAATTGAATCAAGCTTAATGTATAATTGTGTGAGGAAATTAAATTTGAATATCAGTGTTCAACACTGCTAGGAAAGTATGTAACCTTTTCACAAGGTTAGCTTACTGCATTTGAAAATATCACAAACTGCTGTTTTTAGTATGCATAGCTCAAATATGTTATGCATACAGAATTTCCTTAGGGTTTTTGTTCAGTCATCATCTTCATCTTGGAGTGCCTCACTAGTTGGCTGTCTCTTGTTTGTTTGTCAGTATTGAGCTACAGTTACAGGAGATAAATCCTGCCATCCGCAATGGAGTGTACTCTCACCTTGAGGCTTTTGTGCCATGCAATAAGGACACACTGATAAAGCGTCTGAAGAAGTTACACCTCAATGTCCAGGTAACGGCGGGGAAGAGTAGCTCCAGCATACTCTTATGTAGTAGTGAGGACAGTGCAGAAGACTAGAGCAACAGTCATGCAGGCTCCAGTGAAGGATTTTTTGATCAGTTACTACATTGTTTTAAATGCTGTTTTTCTGTGTTTCTATTATTGTGGCTGTTTGAGAACTAGTGTTTACTAAGTCGTTTAGACCTTTCTGTGTATGAGAGTGAAATGCTTTCATTTCGAGAGTTGGATACAAGCTAGTTATTAAAGTAGCAGAGCAAGAAAGCCATGGTAATCTTTGTTAGGACAAGGTTTGTTTGTTTGTTTTTTAAATGACTATTCTGCTAATTTTTGTACCAAAGAGAAGAAAAAATTGGTAGGTTGCTAGACAAACTAGCTTGTCTTTTGAGCCAAAGTCTCTGTGTTTTGATCTTGCAACTATTTTGTTTCATTTACAGTAGCTGTTCTTTTAAGGAATATATATGCTTTCCCCCTGAGTAGAAAATCTGTTTCGATATAAAGTATCCTGACCTGGTTCTTTAGATGAAGTAAGACTTGCAGAGGGCTAAAAACATACTAAGAGGGAAAATTTTGCATACTATTTCTGCATTCAGTGGTAGGACATAATGGCACATAGTATTGTAGCTCTGAGGACATGGTTATAACTCAGAATGCAAAGTCAGAAGATATAGGAAGAGAATTTAAGACATATAGGTAAGTGTACAGTATTATACTGTTTTGTTTTTTAGAAATGATACTAAATATGTAGTCCTGATTGTGCTCATTACCCAAAAGATTTTTTTATACCACAGAGGTTTTTTGGAGACTTGATTCATTACTTATTTGCAAGTGTTGGGATACCCTTCAATCCAACCTTCTTGCTTTATTCACTTTTTTCTCTTGACCCTTTTAATTGAAAAGGATTTCTTGATGAGATCATACCATAATGTTCATGAAGTGGTTCTTTGTATGTGGCTACCTTTCATGATTTCTGGGCTTAAGACTACATTAGTTGTACAAGAAGTTACAAGTGCATGTATACTGTTGTTGGACTATACAGATTTAATGAAGTGTCATGTAGGAAACTGCTGCTGCAGTCAATTATTTGCAATGAAAATACTGTTTTTAGGAGTTCAAGGAAAATAATTTCGCAGGAACTCTATAAAATGCACTATGCTTGGCATCTAATAGGATCACTTTGATGTTTATCTGTTCCCAGGATGACCGTTTGAGAGAACCGCTGCAAAAGCTGAAACTGGCTGTCAGTAATGTCATGCCTGAACAGTTATGCAAATACCAAGAGGATTGTCAGGCCCGCAATCAAGCCAAGAATGCCAAGTAGGTACTTCTAGAGTATGTGCATGATCTTTCTGGAGTCCAGCTGTCACCAGATTTTCATTTCCTGAGCTCATACAAGTAGTATGCCCAAATTTCTTTGTACATGCCTCTTAAGTTCTGAGTTATACAAAGTACCTAAATGGCATAGATCTTGAGAAAGAAATTGTTGGAAGTCGGCTGGAGTCAAGACA